ACCCACAGAGGTCCCTTCCAACCCCTACTATTCTGTGATTCTGTGATTCTGTGATTCTGTTGAGTTTAGACTTAATACAAAATCAAGGTTGCTGCCTGCCTCAATAGCTCACCTATTCTGGATGAACAAAGTGAGATACCATACTACGAAAAAAATGGCATTTTTTCTTAAAATGGACATGAATAGAGCACAGGGAAAGATACAGGCGCTGTACCTTGGTTTGTACCCTGTTTGAGAAGAGATCAGAGTCTTGATCTCATTTAAATGTGTTTCTCGTCCTTGAGTATACACTGTAAATGAGAACAGGCTTATCTAGGTCTGTCTGATGCTAAAGACATCGCTAAGCAAGAAAGCCAAGAAGTACAGCACTCCATCAAAGTTAACCCTGCCAGAACAGCGAGGTACCATCTCTGTTAGGCAGGCTCAGGCTCATAGTTGTTTTCTGCTAGATCTGAGTGTAAGATGCAAACTACATCACTGCCTGAATCATTCATCAGAGAGGAAGGGAACGTCCGTACTGCCCACAGGGACACAAACAGCACGGTTCTGCCTGCACTAAAATCTAATTTCGAAGACATAGAAGCTGATTATTATAATGTAAGAATATATTTAAACAGTGCAACAATCAGTCATTGGCTCAGCAGTATTAATGAAATAGGAAGTTAAGAAAAGCTCAGATAATATTGATATCCCTCTAAGAGTATGATATAGGGATCAATTTACCATAAATTGTAGTTAACAAAATGGGTTTTGAAAGCACGAAAGAAAAGCGTTGTAACACTTCAAATGGAAATGTCTAATGACAGATAACAGTTCTGAGATGCAGACAAGTTATTCTGTAGAGAAGATTAGGTGTCATCGTTTTTATTAGGCATGTCATCTTCACTTTTCCCAAATGATACTATTTTTTTTCCTGAACAGATGACATGTACTGGCATATTTAAGGAAAACTCAAGAAGAAACTACACAGTGCCATAATGTTAATATGAAAGTTACTATCTAAGAATTCCAAAACAATCTACTATCAATAGATAGTTCATTTGTGTATTTTACTTGTTTATGAGAGTGCAAATCCATCATATATCTATTTGGATGACAATAATAATATATTATTTGAAATAAGTGGCTATTACCAAATCCACTTGTCTATACATATCATATTCTAAACATAGTAGGAATATAGTACTTTTTCCCCTATTTTAAGTAAGCAGAGTAATAACATGCTCATCAGATTCTAAATTTCAGATGAGAGGGACCATAAAAGCTCACCCTCTTTTTTTTTGAAACTGTTAAGATGAGCAGAACAAAAAGAACATCTACTCTTTCTTTTGCTGAGAAAGGCTCACAGTGAGTTGCCATAATATTTGAGCAAAACATTGCTCTATGATAATTACATATTTTGTATTTAGGAGTATATTGTACTTAGGAAACTAAGTCCTTATGGAGGAGAGCATGCCTTGAGGCATACACAAGGCTTTTTTATAATTAGCTTTTCTTCAAACATAATCGAGTGGATCTACCCCAAAACTTCTAGCCCATATAGAAGACACGGAAATCATTGCTATTCAGTTCAATACGGCATTTCTCAGTGCAGGCAGAGGCCAGTTATTTTTGTGTAGATCTCAAGGGTTCCAATACTAGCAATAAAATTTCATATTTACACAGTCAGCTTTTCCGTATTTTACATGGCAGAGCTGAAGTAACGGAACAGAGCAATCTGTGAAAGAAATAATTTGATCCCCATATGTAAGCAAAATTGCGGCTCTCAAATCCAGCGGGTGGCCAAAGTTCACTTTAAAATCCTACATGGGGTTAGAAATCACACCAAACAAATCTCTCTCTTTGGGTTAGTACCAAGGTTTTTCTCTTCCATTCACAGCTAACTGGTGAGAGGACAACTTATCCTGCTGTAAAGCTGAGTGTATAAATGTGAAAGTGGTATTCACATTGTGATGATGCCAAGACCGGTATTATCCTTCGGACACATTCCCACATTCACTGTGGAAGAATGGCAAGCATGGCAGCAACACAGGGGCACAAAGATCATACAAAGGAAGGAAAAAGGCATAATTTTGACTCAGTATCACCTCACTTCATGGCACTTTGAACAAAGTGGTGAATTTTATGTCCTTTGCAAAAGCAACAATACTCGAAAAAGAAACTCTGCCGTTACAAGCTTTCCATTTCATATCCACACTCTATAAAAAGCATCTCGCTGAGTACAATCTAAGTTATGTATCGGTAAGGAATGAGTAAAAACTGGCCAAGACTTCCAGGTTAGACCAGAATTCATTTGTTTAGAGCTTTATGTACTCCACAGATAACAGTATGCCACTGCACTTATATCGCTGCAGATTGTTAATTACATTTAACTTTCCCATTAAGCAGATGTGTTACTACATTCTCTTACATTAAACTAAATTTGGAATAAACTACGCAGTACATAAAAGCACAAAGACAATCATTAATCTTCTTGGTACTGGAAGCGATGACTACTGCTGGCAGAGCTCTTTGCATAGAAGGCCTAATACCATGAAGAAGCTTTCTTCTAAGAAGTTGCTTTGCATCCTGCATGACTAGATTGTGCAAAACAGAATGAATTATAGATAAAAACAAACAGTAAATCACAAAGGGCATGTTGTAAAGCTAAAGAAAATTAAAGTTTCAGTTCTGCAAAAAGAAACACAGAAGATGCGTCCTGTGGGAAACAGACACAACGGTCGGTACACGGTAAGCTTGTCATTTTGGCAGTTGTTTGCTCCATCATTAGGGAAATCACCAAGACGTTTTAGGGCATATCTCACCTAAGATTAATTAAACAATGGAAAATACACCCTGCTTACTGAAATATGCATCTTCTATTTTTAGCTATGTTGCTTATGCTGGGCTTGAATCGGATGCACAGCTGAAGTTCTATTACGTAACAAATAGGCTAAAGCGTACGGAAAACTGACAGATTTTAAAAAGTGCTATTGACAAACAGACAACATGACATATTTATGAACAATGCTAAATTTTTCTATTCATTTTCCAGGGAAAGCAACACACTACATGTGCATGAGGTCATTTGTCAGTAACAGTTCTAGTTTTAACATATAAAACTTTCAATGTCAAGATTAGAGGTGGGGACATACAGGTACTGATTTATCCTTTTTCAAGTGATGTAATCCACCCTTATGGTGAACAATTTCTTCCTAATATCTAATCTAAAGCTGCCCTCTTTTTGTTTACAGCCATTCCCCCTTGCCCTATCACTACACACCCTTGTGAAAAGTCCCTCTCCATCCTTCCTGTAGGCCCCTTCAGGTACTGGAAGGCTGCTCTAAGGTCACCCTGGAGCCTTCTCTTCTCCAGGCTGAACAGCCCCAACTCCCTCAGCCTGTCCTCGTAGGAGAGGTACTCCAGCCCTCGGATCATCTTTGTGGCCCTCCTCTGGACCCACTCCAACACATCCATGTCCTGCTTATGTTGGGGGCTCCCGAGCTGGACGCAATAATAACAGCTCCTCTTCCTTGCCATGAAGCCAATTTCTCTTTCTTTTAAAGATTATTTCATTTTACTTGCATGTCTCAAAGATTTATAGAACATGGATAATTACTAAAGGCTATATATGCGTTTTCCTTAATGCAGGAAAGCATTAATGCTTCTGCATAGACGCAGGAAGAAATTTATTTTTATTTTGTGATATATGACATGCAATAAGAGAAAGAAATCAAGTCATAAAAATGGACAAACAACATGAAAAAACAGAAAATAACACTTTATCAAGGGCTTTAACTCTCAACTTGATAAAAAATGGAAAAGACATTTTTATAAGCTGTTATATATAGCAAATTTGAACACATTATTTACATAAATCATATTCAAGATGCTGAATTTAAAAAATAAAAATGTTAAATAAAGTAGAGCAGAAAAACTAAACTGGACTATGAAGTAGGACACTATATCTGAATGAATAACTTATTTGGATACCAGCCGTCTGCTAGGGTAGTGTAGCACTTCTAAATGCATCTTGCAATAATTGTGTCCACACATTACCTCAAACACTTTAAAATTCCATTTTGAGAAATAAAGTAGATGCTTAATTCTTCCAGATGTTAGCACTGCCATGCATATACAGATTACTGTAGCAGTTTAATTATTGTTGTTACTATTCAAAACGTCATTTTTCTATCAAGCATGCTTATTGAGAATTTAAATCAGAAAATGGTAGCAGATGAACTAACAGCGAATTCCCTAAATATGCCAAATTTTCTGTGCTCACAGCGGGCTCACAGCTGTTAATATTTACTCAACAGTTACTATTGCTTTTATCTCCCAAATGAATATTAATAAAACCAAGATTAACTGTGCATATCTGTGCTGTAAATGACTTGTAATCCATGAAATAAAATCAACACGTATAGAAGGTAACAGAGAATGCAGGATCTCATTCACCGAAGGCCAGTCTGGTTCTGTAAAAACAGTATACAGACTGCAAACTCAACACAAGTGGTTCTTCTTTTCTCACGTTACTAGATTGCACAGATAATCCACAGTGGCCAGTAGAATTGCTGTCGCCGTTGTAATCTCTCAATGCAGTATCATGTAAAAGAGAAAGTCATACAGGAAAACTTACAAACACTACCAAATTACTCTATTCTGTTTCTTCTCATAATCACGCTCAGACAATTCCATCACACTGATCAGTGATTTCTGAGTGAGCAATTATGGAGACATGGAGAGATGAGTACTAGATTAAATCAGACCTAAAACCAAAAGAAGGTTGAAGACTTCACAAACTGGAACACACTGGTCTGGAGACTGGATATCGCAAGTGCCCACCACGTGCTTCTCATCTCACAAAGAGATGTTCTTGCACAGTGACAATAAGATGCAGTACGTATTACCTTATACCTAGTCTGAATAAGTGTTTTTATTGCCAGGGCAGGGTATGAATCTTTGCCTCTCATATCAGTTACTTTCTTACATTTAAGTGCTTGTTTTTTAGGAATAGCAAATAAATACATTGTTATTATTTAGTAACATCTGTGAGTTTTGAAGGCTATTACACAGCAGCAAGGTGTGCACACACTCAGAGGACCAAGCACAATTTACCCTGTGTTTATATTATCATGCCATTTCCACACTACACAAAGGTCTTGGTAAGTTCACCTTACCTCATCTGGTTTGGTGATGCATTTTCCTTTCCCCGAACACTGGAAGCTATCTGAATGGCTTCCCACAGGCGTGCAGGTACTGACTTTCACTGTCACAGTCAAGCGTAGAGCCACAATGCATTTAGTAACTGAATCATTCAAAAAACCTTTAAAAAAAAATTATTACTATAAGAGAAAATACACTAATACATGTTAATACTTTACCTCTAGACAAACAAAACTGATTTGAAAGAAACTGTCAACTAAGAACATCCTCGCTCACGTTTCATACACGCTTATTTAAATTTAATGCATGTAAATACAAATTAGAATATAGTTTGGAAACAAACACTCATTGTACTGATTAACAAAAGGAAGGCAGGCTGGTGAAACTAATCTGCTATCATTTTTTAGGTCCCTAATAATCAAATTCTTTTGACTGCTATTTTTTTGATAAATTAAAAATATATTTCTTTAAGTTTTTTAATGATAAGGGATATTAAAATCAAATTCAGTTGAGAAAAATATTTAAATGAATTTCTAAAAGTTTCTTCAGAGCTAAAAAGCACACAGATAGGCTGCATACACTGGTAACAGATGGACAATCCCTCTGGCTGTATTTTTTATGAAGTTTGAAAACCATACATACACAGCTTGACAGCATTTCTTTGTAAATTTGCAATACAAGTATTACTGAACATCTGATCTGATCACTCTATAAGGTGGTATACTAGGTACAGACAAACAAAACATGAAAACGGGAACATTTGACAACGAAAAGGAAAATTCATGAATCTTTAGCTAGCACCTGTAATTGTATGGAATAAAAAAAAATAGTTGGATGGAAGCTATTAAAGCACACTAGAGCATAACAACATCCCTATCACCCATATTTCTAACAGATATACCTGGAAAATAAAATAAAGGACAGCAGGAAAGATAAAATGAGGCACACATGCAGCTCACAACACACACAATTAAGTCAAGAGTTCAGGTCAGAATCCACATACCCTGCTCCTGTACTTCACTTGTGCTCAAATCTCATTGTTCCACTGAAGGGACTGACTCCTGGGTCACAGCCCTTCCCTGCGTGGTATCAGTTACCTGTTTTGTTCTGGGAGCTTGTGGCAGAGTAAATGTGCAGTGACATAAAAAGTGTGGGTTTGGTACAATGTACACACTGTAGGCAGAATATATGCATAAAAAACACAAATATTCTTCCATAAATTGTCAAACTTCAATTTGACTTCACTATCCTTAATGTAGGTAGACTCCTAGGTGTCTACGACTGTTTGTAGTATCAGTATGGAAAGTTACAGACACAACTATTGCAGGATTATACTTTTCTTTAGAAATTAATTGAGAGAGAATAGAAACCATATCTTCAGAGTAGGAAAATCTCGTGTTCAATACAGATGTCATCAGCTTGAGTATAGCCTCTACAAGTTAGATAACCATTCTAAAAGATCAGATTAAAAAAAAAAAAGCAAGCATTAGGTATAGTTCCAAATGTCTAACGGCCTGTTTTGGCTAGTGAAGATTACTGTAATCTGCTGACCCCTTGAAAGCAAGCCAATTTATTCTGGCCTTAATACACACCCCATTTTTACCCATCTGTTCCAAGACGCAGCCAGAATTATTTCCTTTAACAACTGAATGCAATTGTCACTGGCAGTCATGCAATTGTATGTGAATGCTCGGAAGAATGTGGTATTTAGAAAATGTCTTTGGGTTCACATTTGCTTGTCTAAAGCAGATTGTTACATATTCTTCAGGACAGTTCCCTAAGGGAGTATTACATCAACCTTCTTTGTAATTGGAATCTTGTCACTATTTCGGTACCAAAAGCCCTTAGGCAAATCCCTGAAAAAAAATCATTATTCTCACTGGAATGCAATGTGTTTTCCTGTAATTTCTAATTATCTCATCTAATTTCCAAAGAATAGAAAAATAAAAACACAGGTATTTATTTTCACTCTATAGAAGTTGCATACAACTTTCTGAGATCTCTAGGTTTTAAGGCTAGAAGAAGCTTGTCCGATCATCTAAACATGACACTCGGCTTAACTCAGGTCCTAGCACTTCAGTTAATTCCTTCTTCAATTCCCATAACAGCAACTGAATTAGAGTGAGTTTTAAGTTCTATTTTTAACTTCTAGGTAGGAGAATACTTTCAGAAGTATGTTTACAGCTCCCTTCATCTAAGGTCTGGAGAAAAACATTACAGCTGTTTATATCGAAAGGTAATTTTGTTCAGTTTAACCCTGCTGGTTTTCTAAAGATAGCTAAAATATAATGACTTTAGAGCATTTTAAGTTGAAGAATTCAGGGTTGAGGTATTTACAGCAATATTAGGGAAAAAATTTTATAGCCTAATAGATCATAATATGATGTGAGTAGTCATTTAGATTGCAGAGGAGGCATTTTCAAGCTTTGTGCACACATATTTGATAGTCTGAGAAATGCCTGCCTGATTTCATTGGCAGTATGCGTGGTAAAATACACTACACCTCACTCCACACTCGCAGCTTCACCTACTTATGCCTAGGAGCATAAAGTATGGACGCTCCTGTTTCTCTCACATCAAGAAAGTTAAGGATGAAAAATAAGGAATAAAGTCAAAATAAAAGATGACAGGTGTCATCATTGTGTCCAGGTGCTTTCAGCAAGACCATATCATGCCATTCAGACTACCACTACTCAAACATTAATTAATTGTAGATCTTCTAGACTGCACAAACTGATTTTCTTCCTTCACAAGCCCCATTTCTGACCAATACCTTCCCTCTATGCACAGCAGACTGAGGACAGCAAGCTGGTCCGTAGCGGACTGCTAAGTGGCCACCAACTCAGAACGTTATCCTATCCCATCTTATGCTAATGGCAGGCATAAGACTGAACTACAAATCATAACTAACTCTTGGTATGCACTCAGCGCTATCACACACACAAACACTCTTGCCTACTGCAATTGGCTCAAATGTATTTCTCTGTATTCCACACAGTGAATATATGTATTTTAACATATATTCACCTATGGTTAAAACTATAGATTATCATTTCACAGCAGAAATACAGTAATAGTTACCTACATTAAAGTTCCAATTCAAGTATAGGTCTTTGAGTCCACCTACAGGTTTCTTGGATGAGAGAGAATGACTGCCAAGAGGTCTGGGCACTCACACTGAAGCATGTCCCCAAGTTTTCAACTTCTTTTTAGCCCGGTTTCCCAAGGAAATGAGACAGCAGTGGGATGTCTATCAGTTTCCATCTGTTCTCTTTTTCTCTCTCAACACTTTCCCACACCAGAAGCTTTTGGGGTCAGTAGCCAACTTAACATTTTGCAAAGCAGTGGAGTTCTCAAAGACACTAAATGCCTACAGCTTCCCTGCACAGTACACAGCCCCGGCACTGGTAAGTCAAAATGGGTAGGAAAACACAAAAGGGCCCCAGAATAAGGTGGTGTCATTTCTCAATCCCATTCCTGGTGTACAGTACAGTCAGTTATTCATTACTTGGAAAATGGGAAACTGGGATATATACAAAGGGAAGAAAACCAGATAGTATCAGTCCTTCAGGAGCAAAGCAGTGGTATTGGGTGTGCCTGCACCACATCTTCCATTCATGTCATGTAGTAACATAATGAAGCTATAACACTGCCAGACCTGATTTCAGCTTTCAGGAACAATTCAGCTGCTATCAGAGCATATTGAACCTGAGTTTATAAGCCTTAGCAGTCCAGAATAGAAGCTACATAAGTATGTCTGCTAGTTCATCCACAGGTAATGGAAAGTTATACAATTAACCCAAAGTGTAACAGATCCAAGAGGAATTTTTTCTTTGATCACATCTTACATCACAGGAGAAAACGTTCTCCAGCAAGCTAAACAGGAGTGTTCAATATGTTCAGTCTTTTCTTTTGTGGCCATTGAACTTTGCAGACATAAGAATAATTTAAAGAAAGGAAGCTAGGAAAAAAAGGGTACTAAATCTTTATTTCAGTATTCACTAGAAAAAAGACAAAGGAAGACTTGAATTCTAGTCCTTTCTTTTAAATTTTATCTGTCCATAGAATTTTAATTTGGATAAATTTTATCCAAAGATTATTTCATGTCCGTAACACTCACACTGTCCATGTATCATATCACATAGCTAACATTCAAGACTATGAAGATGACCACAGGGTTCTATACTAATCATCACCATGTTTAAGTGCCTTTTTGCACCTAAAAATAAAGTAAAAAATTCAGTTTAACTACACAAACCGATTTCCCTCTCTTATGGCACTGTATATCACAATTTCAAATAGTGGTTATTCACCTAGTAAATCTAAGAGAGCTCAATCCTTTCACTCATTCATGGATGTCACGTTCAATTCATTTTAGAGACCTAACAAATGAAAAAGCATAACAAGATGTTCTCACAGAATCATAGAATCATAGAAAGTTTTGGGTCGCAAGGGACCCCTAGAGGTCATCTAGTCCAACCCCCCTGCAGCGAGCAGGGACACCGCTAACTAGATCAGGTTGCTCAGAGCCCTGTCCAACCTGGTCTTGAATGTTTCCAGGGATGGGGCCTCCACTGCCTCTCTGGGCAACCCGTTCCAGTGTTTCACCACCCTCATTGTAAAGAATTTCTTCCTTATATCCAGCCTAAACCTACCCTGTTTTAGTTTAAAACCATTACCCCTCGTCCTGTCACTGCTGTCTCTACTAAAAAGATTGTCCCCATCTTTCCTATAGGCTCCCTTTAAGTACTGAAAGGCTGCAATCAGGTCTCCCCGTGAAATTTACCTGTACATGTTGAAATAGTAGAGGCATACTTTTGATTACAAATAGACAATCATTTATCACCTTTTCCATGACCCTGATGGTCAGGGTCATTAAGGCCTATCAGTACCCTCAGGGGCGTAACACTAATACTGTTCTACTGAATTTGAAAAAAAGTGGGTCAGGAATCCTTTCCTAGTGTGCCTTAGGATGATTATCACACATAGCAGAAAACAAGCGAGAAACAGCTAGTCAATGACATTCGCAACCTTTGATGCCATACTTCTGTGACACCTGTAATACAGGATACTTGTACAGAACATCTGGGATCCTTCTCTAATGATACTGCTAGGCAACATAGCATCCGGGCATACAAAAATACAGCTGCAATCACAAAA